TCTGCGAAACTGTCGCCACTTTCGAGGGCTGCTGGGGGGCCAGCAGAGGGGTGTCGCCGTCCCTGGGGGCTGCGATCTGTGGGAAGGCTCACTTCGCCACTTTCGAGGGCTGCTGGGGAGGCCAGCAGAGAGGGCACTCACCGCGGATCCAAACGGGACCTCGCCGTCCCTGGGGGGCTGCGATCTGTGAAACTGTCGCCACTTTCGAGGGCTGCTGGGGAGGCAAGCAGAGAGGGTACTCACCGCGGATCCAAACGGGACCTCGCCGTCCCTGGGGGGCTGCGATTTGCGAAACTGTCGCCACTTTCGAGGGCTGCTGGGGAGGCCAGCAGAGAGGGTACTCACCGCGGATCCAAACAGGACCTGGCCATCCTTGGGGGGCTGCGATATGCGAAACCGTCGCCACTTTCGAGGGCTGCTGGGGAGGCCAGCAGAGAGGGCACTCACCGCGGATCCAAACGGGACCTCGCCGTCCCTGGGGGGCTGCGATTTGCGAAACTGTCGCCACTTTCGAGGGCTGCTGGTGGGTCCTGCGGAGTGAGGTTTTTTTCACTGTGTGCGAACGCCAAGCAAAACTCTGCAAGCAGGTTCAAACTTCGCGGCATGAAAAATGAGGCTAACTGCATAAGTCTGCCTAGCCAGCGTGCGCCTGCAGGGCCGATACGATCGGCAGGAGCCTTGTAGCCTCTACCGGGACCAACCGCGACGCTGCACTCAAAACGGGTGCCACTAGCCACGGCTCTTCCCGCAGCTGTCTAATTACCTCACCTCCGTCGGAAAAGCGGCTGAGCAACCTGAGGTCAGAGACCGAGAGCGCCTTCGCACCCTCGTCAAAACTCGAGCCGGAAAAATGCTGCCCAGAAAAAGCCGAAACTTCCACCTCACCCGAAAGAGCGCTCATAGCCATCTGATCGGAGGGCGCCTCAACCGAAGGAGGCAGCCCCAAACCAGCGTCAACGGACACTCCTGGGCAAGCCTCGGAAAGAGGCTCAGCCAAAATGGCCGCTGAAAGGCGAACCTCATCAGACGGAGGCTCAGCCAAAAAGGAATCCACAAGAGTAGGGCGAGCCTCAACAGTTGGAGGCTCAGCCAAACCAGCACTTGAGGAGACCACTGAGGGAGATATTGCAGAAGCGGCTTCAACGACAGACGAGCGAGCCTCATCAGAGGGAGGCTCAGCCAAGAATGCTTTTGAAACCACATCTTCATGCACAGCAGCGGCTTCAGCGACAGACGAGCGAGCCTCATCAGAGGGAGGCTCAGCCAAGAATGCGTTTGAACCCACATCATATTTCTCCCTCTTCTTGTGTTTTCTTTTACGGCGCACGCGCTCGCCGATAAAGAAATTCAAGGCCTTGGCGTCCTCCTCGGCGGGATGCGGGGAATGCGGACTGGTGGAGGCGGCGGCGGCAGCACCTGCACCACAGAGCTGGTCGGTGCAGCACTTGCTGGCGGGGGTGCTGGCGGCCACTCCTTCAAGCCCGCCTTGGCCTCCTCCGAGCGGACATCCTTGTTCTTCTTCTTGTGCTTGCGCTTCCGAGGGCGCTTGGCCTCTGCCACCGCTGGAGCCGGAGGCGGCGTCGGGATCTTCAGGCAAGCCCTCGGAGCGTCCTGAGACTCCGGAGGAAGCGAGAATACCTCCTTCGCTACCGGCGGTGTCGGGGACCTCGTACTGGCACCGTCGCACTTCTCCTTCAAAGCCGGGGCCACAGGCGGAGCCGACGCCTCCTTCTGGTTGACCTGCAAACGGTCCCATCTCCTCAGGCGTTTTATTGGCTGCACCTCCTCCTCCTCCGGCTTCAGCGGCAGGGAATCCTGCCCCGGAATCTGCATGCCCTTGCTGAACTCCATGTCCACCACATCGACCAGGCTCCAAATCCCTGGCGGCGGTAACGGGGGGGGCAGCCGTAGACAGAGCCTCCTGCGAAAACGACGATCTCGAGCTCATCGTTGGAAACTCCGAAGCACTGAGTGAAAGCACTAATACGGTCTCCTAGTGAGGTGCCCAGCAAATCAACCGGCACAAAAAAGCGCATGGACGGGGCCTTGAGCCGGGGTGGCTTGAGCCAGGCTACGGACCTGCGGAGTGAGGCGCCGCGCGGACCTGAGCGGGACCTCGCCGTCCATGGGGGGCTGCGATCTGCGAAACTGTCGCCACTTTCGAGGGCTGCTGGTGGGTCCTGCGGGGTGAGGCACCGCGCGGGCCTGAGCGGGACCTCGCCGTCCCTGGGGCTGCGATCTGCGAAGCTGTCGCCACTTTCGAGGGCTGCTGGTGGGTCCTGCGGAGTGAGGCGCCGCGCGGACCTGAGCGGGACCTCGCCGTCCCTGGGGGGCTGCGATCCGCGAGACTGTCGCCACTTTCGAGGGCTGCTGGTGGGTCCTGCGGAGTGAGGCGCCGCGCGGAACTGAGCGGGACGTCGCCGTCCCTGGGGGGCTGCGATCTGTGAAACTGTCGCCAGTTTCGAGGGCTGCTGGTGGGTCTTGCGGAGTGAGGCACCGCGCGGACCTGAGCCCGACCTCGCCGTGCCTGGGGGGCTGCGATCTGCGAACCTGTCGCCACTTTCGAGGGCTGCTGGTGGGTCCTGCGGAGTGAGGCACCGCGCGGGCCTGAGCGGGACCTCGCCGTCCCTGGGGGCTGCGATCTGCGAAACTGTCGCCACTTTCGAGGGCTGCTGGTGGGTCCTGCGGAGTGAGGCACCGCGCGGACCTGAGCGGGACCTCGCCGTCCCTGGGGGGCTGCGATCTGCGAAACTGTCGCCTTTTTCGAGGGCTGCTGATGGGTCCTGCGGAATGAGGCGCCGCGCGGACCTGAGCGGGTCCTCGCCGTCCCTGGGGGGATGCGATCTGCGAAACTGTCGCCACTTTCGAGGGCGGCTGGTGGGTCCTGCGGAGTGAGGCACCGCGCGGACCTGAGCGGGACCTCGCCGTCCCTGGTGGGGCTGCGATCTGAGCGAAACTGTCGCCACTTTCAGGGCTGCTGGTGGGTCCTGCGGAGTGAGGCACCGCGCGGACCTGAGCGGGACCTCGCCGTGCCTGGGGGGCTGCGATCTGCGAAACTGTCGCCACTTTCGAGGGCTGCTGGTGGGTCCTGCGGAGTGAGGCACCGCGCGGACCTGAGCGGGACCTCGCCGTCCCAGGGGGCTGCGATCTGCGAAGCTGTCGCCACTTTCGAGGGCTGCTGGTGGGTCCTGCGGAGTGAGGCACCGCGCGGCCTGAGCGGACCTCGCCGTCCCTGCGATCTGCGAAGTGTGCGCCACTTTCGAGGCTGCTGAAACTCGTCCCTGGGGGGTTGCGATCTGCGAAACTGTCGCCACTTTCGAGGGCTGCTGGTGGGTCCTGCGAAGTGAGGCACCGCGCGGACCTGAGCGGGACCTCGCCGTCCCTGGGGGGTTGCGATCTGCGAAACTGTCGCCACTTTCGAGGGCTGCTGGTGGGTCCTGTGGGGTTAGGCACCGCGCGGATCTGAGCGGGAACTCGCCGTCCCTGGGGGGCTGCGATCTGCGAAACTGTCGCCACTTTCGAGGGCTGCTGGTGGGTCCAGCGGGGCGAGGCACCACGCAGATCTGAGCGGGACATCGCAATCCTTGGGGGGCTGCGAGCCTCACGAATGCCGCTCGCAGAAGTACATGCGCCCATGTCACGTCATCATCTCCGTATAACGAGTCCCAATCTACTCATGCCCCGCATTGCGCAGGGGTTGGGTACGTCGCCAGGGTAATTTTCTTTCTAGTGAAGCGCGAGCTCTTTCTTAGGATCGGTGGTGATGACGAACCCAAGCTCTCGCCTGTTATGGGCTCGTCCACCGATCCAAGGATATGAGCTCACAACTTCCAAGACAGGATCGGCTGATAAACAGCCATTATTATGCCAGCGATCCAAACGAGAACAAGTGATCGATGGAATGATGACTGTCCGCCAATCGAAGGAAAAAAGGGTTTTCTTAAGAACCTAAAGATAACACATGAAAAAGATGATGAACGGCTGTTAAAACCTTCCCCTTTCTTTTTCATTACAATCTGCTGTCAATTACATTCTCCCTCATAATCAAGTAAAGCTTTTTCATTTAAGTTTTAATGCGAGGGGGGATTTTGAAGTTGACCGCAGAGAATGGAAACACAACTGGACCAGCAGCTTACAGACGGCTATTGTTCCTTTTCTTAGTGTGGTCACACATAATAAATTAAAGTGCGAGTGGCCACCGAGAAATAATAGCCGTCAGTTGATAGCTGAATATGATCCACCCTTGGTCCTTTCTTTCCGTCATACAAAGAGAAAAAAACGAACAGCAGTGCGAATGAAAGAGTTGATGATGCACAACTGTGCTTAAGCACGCATCAACCTTTTCATTCTCTTTCTTTTACGTGTTCTCTTAATAAAGGAAAGAAAGAAAGGGACCACGGAGAAGACTGCAGGACCTTCAATCAATCCTGGCGTTATCAAAGAAAATGTGCGTGCTTCAGCACCAATCAAAGCTTGCATTTTCTTTAGCACCAGAGATTGTTGAGTCCTGAAGGTCTTCTTTCATTTCTTTACAAAAAAGTTCATCTTTGAGTCCTTTCCATTTTCTCTCTTGTGCGCTCTTGAGATCCAGCCAGTCATTAAACAGACACAATATTGGATTTGAGCTCACAGAAGAAAGAAATTCATGAAAGGACCAAAGGGGCTCTCCCTAAGAAGTGAATGATTATCGGACCGAAGAACATGTCTCATTTATTCCCTTATGTAATCTCATGCTTTCTCTTGAGAGAACATATGAATGAAATGAGATTAATATATATATATATATACACATATTAGTTCCAGAAGGCCCGCCAGTCGTTAACGGTTAACCGCTTCGCTCTTCCTTTCTTGTGGTGGGTTCATAACAGCTGCTGCTGACCCGCCATCACAACGAAGGAAAGAAGAGCCAAAGCGTGGTAACGTTAACCGTTAACAGCCTGCTGCTTACTACGGAGGTCTTGTGAACTCATTTTCTTCTCTTCATTGATCTGCTGTCTTCGATGGCATCATTCATTAAGCTGAGGCTTAAGCCATCGAATTATGACAGCAGGTCGTAGAGAAGAAAGTGATTTCAAATGCTGAGCCAAAGAGCTCTAGTTTGATGGTCAATCGAAGATTGAAGCTGAAGCTCATGCCATCAAACGAGAGAGAGAGAGCTCTTCTCCAAGGCCAGCATTTTTGAATCACTTCCTCATTTTAGTTGAAGGAAACAATCTCTGGCACAGGAGTTTCTGTCTTTTCATAATAAACTCAGAACTAATTCCTTGAAGAAAAGTATAAGCATTTTTTGTTCAAGAAAAAAACAGAAGGATTCCTTAACCCCCACCCTGACTCGCGATGAGTGAATTGTCCGTGTTCGGTTCTTTCCAGGCTTTCGCCCGCGAGGTTTGGGCCCGAGGTCGTTTTCACTAAACCACGTTTTTCTAAAGGGGGTTCTGTCCATCCCCGAGAATCCAGGCCAGCGGCCTTGAAAAGCGGCGTCTTGTGCCGACTTACAGGCCAGAGAGCAGGTCTCCTCTTCCCGTCCTGCGTGTCGGCACTCTGCTGCGTGCTGCGGCTTGGTGGCCCTCGTCCGAGGTGTGGGCATGCCCTCCCCGCCCACGGCTGCCGCGCCTCCCCGGCCCGCCTCCCGGGCGGGGGTGGGGACGAAGCCCGCGCGCGCGCTCGGGCGCCCAGGACGGGCGCGGACACGCCACATTGGCGGCGAGGGCCTTCCGCGCGGGGGAGCAGATCTTCTGCGAGCCGCCCCTGGTGCTGGTCGCCGGCACGGCGGGGTCGAGGTTCGAGGATCGGGGCCCCCAGATCTCCGACGGCGTGAGTGTTCATTCCCCACGTTTGTCCTCGATTAGGGGGCCTCATGCGAACCCTGCCCCTACCCCCCACGTTTTCTGAGGGGGAGGGGTAGGGTTCGCATGTGGCCCCCTATCGATTTTGGCCCGTGGAGCCCCTTCCTGGCCAAACAGCCATGGATCCGGGATCCGGGACAAAAGACTGCCCCTCAAGGGACGAAAACATATCGTCGGGCGTCTGGGTTTGGGCGTAGTCATCTGGCCCGGGGCGTCCAGGGTATTTCCAGAGGCTCTAGGCCTCCTAGATGGGGTCCGAGTAGATGGGGTCGGAGGATCGCGCCGCATCGCCCGTGAATCGGCGATGCGGCTCGATGTGGAGCCCGATTTTTCCCACGCTGGCGTCGCGGATGCGTCGCCGACGTCGCCGATGCATCGCCGATGCATCGCCGATGCATCGCCGATGCGGCGCGATCCGTCGACCCCACCCAGTCGGATGCCATCTGGGAGGCCTCTATTTTCAGAGGCCCCCGACCAGAGTTTTTTGCTTTGTTTGCGCGTCTCGCCCGCTCATCCCCGATCTTTCAGGAGTATGGGGAAATATGGGAAAATATGGGGAATCTTTTTATTAGTGTGTATTTATTTAATCGCTTCGCTCATGCCGCCGGCCCTGGAGCCCTCTTTAGGGCCTCTTGGGGGCCTCTTGGGGACCTCTTGGGAGTCTCTTGGGGCTCCTTGGCGGCGTTTTGGAGGCCCCCAGGGCCTCTTGGGGGGCTCTTGGGGGTAGTCGATTGCGGCTCCCCCCTCGGAGGCCACGATCCTCGTGAGGGGTGTCGAAAAATACCCTCCCCTGGAGTGGTCTGGTGGCTTCTCCCGGGCTTCTCTCGGGACCTTGCCGGGGTACTTTTCGTCCGGGGGCCCCCAGGGGCCGCTCCGCGCGCGCGAACTAGAAATATTGTTAACAAGTTACCGGAGATCTTAGCACGCCTCTGGCCCGTTGGGCCGGCGAATTTGTGTGTCCTGGGGCTCCTTTAATCTTGTCCCGAGTGCCCAGCCTTCCCTATATAGAAATGCGGTTTTGCGATCGGGGACCTGTCGCCGAGCTATATCGGCGAGGCGTCGTCGCGATGGCAGGCAGGGCGTGTGCCTCCTGAGGCGTCTCACCCCTTCGGCCTCCCTCCTTTCGAGGAAGCAGAAGAGCGCCACGAACGTAACTTTTCGGCGCTCCGCGCGGATTTCCTGGATCCGCTCCGGGGCCCCCCTGGCGGCGCCTCCGGCGCCGCCCCCCTGGTGCGCTCCGCAACATGGGGAGGGGGGTCCAGCGCGTATGCAAGAAATCCGCGCGGACCGTCGAACGTTTTTTTTTTTTTTTTTTTTTTTTTTTTTTTTTTTTTTTTTTTTTTTTTTTTTTTTTTTTTTTTTTTTTTTTTTTTTTTTTTTTTTTTTTTTTTTTTTTTTTTTTTTTTTTTTTTTTTTTTTTTTTTTTTTTTTTTTATGTTTTTTGTTCTTCCTCTAATGTCAGCAGGGTGGCATCATTCAACATCGAGAGCGTGCAGCATCGAAAGTCCAAGGCTTCCAGCGTCTGGCAAGAGTCAGGACGGCTTGCTTCTCCGATTTGTTATTGAGGCTTGTTTCGAGCCCTGGGGCCTGCCGAACATTGCCCACGGCGCGAAAATCATGCGGCCGAAATGGTCGAGTGCACTTAAGCATCGAACGAGTTTTGGAAGTATATTTGAGGCTGCTTGGAGGCAGATCGATCCTCTCTTAGGACTTGTTTGGGGATCTTGGGGGCCTTCTTGGGGCAGTCTTGGACGCCACGTCCATCGGCCCCCGGAAGACACCGAACTCGAGGCGCACACCGGCATCAAACGGCTCCAGAAGTGCCCCAAACACTGAAACAGGTCGCAAGAAGGGTCTCGACAGGGCTCCAACGGGGCGTCAAGAGCACCCCAAAAGAGCTTCAAAGGGTCCGAAGAGGAATCCCAATCCTCGAATCCCAACCCTCGAATCCAATGTGTTCTCTCGCTCCGCTGATGCACTTCGGCGCACCGTGACACAGATGCTCAGCCCGCCTGGGACTTGCCTAACCCAGGGGTGAGCTCGGTGGCTTAACCTGCTCGAGCCAAACCCCTCGAATCCGAGGCTCCGCCCAACATGGGTTTTCATCCGTGGTCTGTCCTTCTGTCCGCGGCTGGCCAGGGCGACCACCACGCCAAAGTATTCGTAACCCCCAGTCCACAGACGAGGGGGGAAGTGCTGCGGCACGAGGGCCCACGACCGAGACCACGACGACGACGACGACGCCGACGACGACGAGGATGACGACGACGACGACGACGACGACGATGTTGACGACGACGACGACGACGACGACGACGACGACGACGACGACGACGACGACGACGACGACGACGACGACGACGGCTCGCCCGCTCTCCGCGGGGGTGAGGGATCAGTTTGGAAGGGCTGGCAGCTTAGGCCGCCTACGCCCACAGGGCTGGCGGGACCACTCGCAACGGAGGGTGGTGCGATACTGCGATGATGACTCTGGAAATGGTTACTTACCCTGATCAGCAGATCCTTCCATAAGACCTAGTGTTCATGTTCGTGCCTGACCTGGTCGATGGTGGGTTGAGTTCAATGCGCCCAAGGTCTACCCCACCCGCGACCCCGAGTGGCTTGCCGCCTTGCGAGTCGAGCTCCTGCGGCTCAGCGAGGCGTGCGCGTGGCAGTACTGCGTGGCCTGCATGTGCTTGCTTGCCTCGGAGTTGCCGCCAGGCGCCCCAGAGGGCCTTGCTCCGATGGATGAGGATCCGCAGAAGGCAGTCTGAATGTAGGAGGACGATTAAGAACTGCCGTGGGGGAGAAACGCCACTCGAATAACAAGCTACCAAAACAGAAGCTTTCGGAGGTCTGCGCGGATTTCTTGGATCGGCGTTGGACCCCCCTGGCGGCCCGGCGGCGCCTCTGGCGCCGCCCCCGGAGGGTTCTAGCGCAGATGCAAGAAATTCGTGGGGACTTCCGAAAGTTTATGTCTGTGTAGTGTTCTCTTCCTCTAGATTGAGAGCTGCCTGCCGAGGGCGTCACGCAGAAGAGCTCGGGGCGATGATTGATACATTGAGATCCAGGCCCGCTCTTGACGGTTCCATCCAGAACTTCTCATAGCGGCAACCAACTATTTGTTGGACCGCTCCCCCTGGGGTTGAGTTCTTAGTCGTCATCCTACAATTGAAACCCATGCCAAGAAAGACCCTGCTTGCCTCCAGGGTGCCCTGGGGTTCTCGGGTTTCGACGGTTCTGCTATGGAAACGCCACGCTCCCACACCAAAAATCAATGGGCGTCCTGGGGTCTGAGGGTTAGGTTTCTTGTGGAAGGTTTCTCGTGGGCGAGCTCTTGCTGTACATCACCCGATGGTCCGCGCAGATTTCTCGGGTCGGCGCTGGACCCCACTGGCGGGGTCTCTGCGCCAGGGGCGCGTGCCTGGCGCCTGCCCCAGAGGTCCGCGCGGACTTCCGAGTGCTGATGCTCGCGCTGCCGCTCTTGTTTTTCAGGAGGGGAAAAAACACACAGACACAATTAATCTTCGATCCCCAGGAAAATATGGAAAAACATGGGAAGTGGGGGGGAAGACAAAACCCCAGAAAATATGGGAAAATATGGGGAATCATTTTATTTGCGTATTTATTTGTGTGTCACAGGGCCCCTTCAGTTTTGTTCTCCCCGTGTGCGCCGCCATGCCTGGCCATGGCCACCCCGGGCCCTGCGGCAGGGCGGGCGCACGGCAGGTTCGTGTCGCGCGCCGACCGGCGGCGACCCCGCCGCCGGCGTTCAGAGTTGATCCCCGCTGGGGACCCAGAATCGGTCGGTGTTGACGAACTAGGGGGCCACATGCGAACCCTACCCCTACCCCCCACGATTTCTGAGGGGGAGGGTGGGGTTCACTCCGTTCGGGAGCTCCCGAGCAAAGTGAACCCCACCCTCCCCCTCAGAAATCGTGGGGGGTAGGGGTAGGGTTCGCATGCGGCCCCCTACCGACGTTCCGGAAACGGCCGATCCTTCAAATCTGAACGACCCCGCGGTGTCGGGAAGCACCGCCGCGGTCGACACGACACGCGAACATGCCGTACAGAGCATCCTGGCCTCGGCCAGGAGGGCGTGTGCACCAGGCGAAGGCCCGGGGTGGCCCTGGCCCAGCTGTGGTTGTGGTGCCATGGTTCAGGAGGGGAAAAAACACACAGACACAATTAATCGTCGATTTACCCAGAAGATATGGGAAAATATGGGAAGTGGGGGGGAAGACAAAAACACCAAAAATATAGGAAAATATGGGGAATCTTTTTATTTGTGTGTATTTATTTGTGTGTCCCTGGGCCCCTTTAATGGTGCCCTCTGCGCAGAGGAGCGGCGCCAGAAGCTCACGGACCTGTGCGGCAGAGAGGACGAGGACAGGGTGCACTGCGATCCGATCGATGCGACTCGACACCGGCTTCGGCCAGCCCGATGCTTGCACGGGCGCTTCGGGCGTTGCTTCGTGGGGGGACGATGAGTAGGAGGGTGGACAACATGTGCACCTTCTGCGCCCCAAAGGGGCCCCCTGGAGCCCCAAAGTGGCACGACCTCCCACATCGCCCCCCCCCCCCCCCCCATACGCCCAAGCGCTGTCGTGCATCCTGACGCGGCCAGGTTCGATTCGACTCCGACTCCGCGCCGATCCGACACGCAATCTTGGTCCAATCCAACGAGTTTTCCGAGCTCAGACATTCGGCTCCGACGGGTCCAGTCCAATCCGATTCGGTTCCGATGGGTTGTCCGAGCCCAGACATCCGACGACTTGATTTTGTTCAATCCGCGCTCCAGGGATCTCGACCACTTCCCAGGGGGACTGTTTTTTGTCCCAGGTCCGTTTCTCGTTCTGCAGGTACCGATAGCGGGCCCGAGGGGCCGAAACCGAGGAGAACCGACGGGAAATTGACAACCATATTTAGTACCCCGCAGTTGTGGATAAGAGTGAGGGGGCGGCGGGGACGTTGGCAGTCTGCGAGGCTCTGAAGAAGCCCGCCGCAAGCGTTTAATTTTCACAAATTATACAATGAGCCCGCCGCAGGCGCCGATTCTTTTATTAAAGCAAGGTGGGTGGAGCGCGGGTGGGTCGCGGGTGGGTCGCGGGTGGATCACGGGGATCGCGGGGCGGGTCGCGAGTTGGTCGAGGGCGGGTCGCGGGGCGGGTCGCAGGGGGATCGCGGGTGGGTCCCGGGGTGGGTCGCGGGTGGGTCGCGGGTGGGTCGCCAGCCGGGTCGCGGATGGGACGACGACAACAACGCAACGAAACGAAACGAAACGAAATGCAACAACACCAACCACAACACCACCAACAACACCAACAACACCAACGACAACAACAACACCAACAACAACAGCAACAACCATTTTAAGACTGTTCGCTCTTCCCTGTCCGCGTGCCGTTCAACACGTATATCCCGAACCCTCGAGACCCGCCCTCTTCGCCTTCGACCGTATGCTGTTGGGGGTATATCTTTCTTACCTGCAGCGTGTATTTCGTGCAGCCCCTGAGGCAGGGGAAGAGAGGACGGATGGAAGGAAGGGACAAGGGGGAGGGAGGAGGATGAAACACGAGAGAGACTAGGAGGAGGGGGGCTGGGAGCAGAAAACACGTGGCAGAACCAGACGGGCAGATCAGGCGGGTAGACCCTACCAGGCGGGTCGGGCAGGAGAGCCCAGGCGGCCAGGTCGAGCAGGCGGGTTGCTGAAACGTGTGTCCCGCATGAGTCGCGAGGAAGTCTCGAGCGATAGCGCGACTCCCAAGTATATCGGTATAACAGCCAGAGCGAGAGCGTGACTCCTGAATGTCGAGGGCGCGGCGTTTGAACACACTGCGAGGACGTCCCACGCGAGAGCGTTATTCCTGAAGAGATTGTGAGGAAGTCCCGCGCGAGCGCGTTATTTATTCCTGAATCAATTGTGAGGAAGTCCCGCGCGAGAGCGTGATTCCTGAATCAATTCTGAGGAAGTCCCGCGCGAGAGCGCTATTCCTGAATCAATTGCGAGGAAGTCCCGCGCGAACGCGTGATTTGATGATATGTTGTGGGGAAGTGTCGGGCGGGAGCCGTCGTCGCTGTGGTGCGGGGGCCGACGACGCAGTTCGAGGCAGGGTGCGAGCCCTGAGGAAAAGGGCACTCCCATCGAAAAAACAATTTTTTACGGGGAGGGGGGATCAGTAATAGTTATTCTCAGGAGGGAAAGAAACATGCAGACACAATGAATCGTCCACTCCCAGGAAAATACGGGAAAATATGGGAAGTGGGGGGCAGGACAGAAACCCAGAAAAATGGGGAAACTATGAGGAATCTTGTTATTTGTGTGTGTGTATATTTGTGTGTCCCATGGCCCCGTCATTTTCTTCAATAGTGAGAGCTCAACAATAGCAGCAAACATTTCAATGTTGCTCGCTCTTACTGGCACGCGTGTCTTGCATTCTGTATAGCCCAACCTTCGATACCCGCCCACCTCGTCTTCGATAGCGTCCCCTTTCATGGGGAATATCTTCCTTGGCGGCCACTGACTAAGTGCGAGGACCTTTCGAGCGAGAGCGCCGTTCCAGAGTTCGGGGGCCTCTCTGGCCAGGGGCTCTCAGAAGGCAGATGGAAAAATATCGAACGGGCACCCTTCTCGCCGTGTCTGGGCCTCCACCAACTTGCCTGAATAAGGAGAAAGTCTCGAGCGAGAACGCCACTCTTGAGTTCGGGGGCCTCTGTTGCAAGGGCCTGTGCGAATACGTCTTGGGGAAGTATCGAACAAAAACCCTTGTCGTCGTCGTTGGGCCTCTACCAATTTGATTGAAACGCGAGAAAGTCTCGAGCGAGAGCGCCGTTCCGGAGTTCGGGGGCCTTCCTGGCCAGGGGCTCTCGGAGTAGATCGTGGGGAAGTATTGAGCCGGAGCCCTTGTCATCGTGGCTGGGCCTACGCCAACTTGATTGAATTGCGAGGAATTCCCGAGCGAGAGCTCCGTTCCGGAGTTCGGGGGCCTCTGTGGCCAAGGTGTCTCGGGGTAAATTCTGAGGAAGTATCGAGCGGGAACCGTTGTCGTTGTAGCCGGGCCTCCAAGGGCACACAACTGCACTCAAGCCAACGCTCGCGCGGAAGCCTCGCTGTCAGAGAAAATGTGGTCGGCGTCGAGGCGAGAGGGCGCGGAACCGTTTTCAGAGATCAGCAATAATCATTTTCTAAGAATGAGTATTCAACAATGACAGAAACAGCAACAACACCAACACCAACAAAAACAACAACAACAATTATGTTAAGACTACTCGCTCCTATCTGCTCACGTGCCAATCAATTCGTGTATTCCAAACCCGCGGTGCCCGCCTGCGTCGTCGGGAATCTCTTCCTTACCGGCCACGTGCATTTAGTGCAGCCCCCTAAAACAAGGGAGGGGAGGACGGGTGGAAGGGGGAGGGAGAAGAATGGAACACGAGAGAAATTAGCAGGAGGGGGGCAAGGAACAGAAATCAAGTGTAAGAACCCGACGGGCAGAACGGGTGGGCAGACCCATAGCAGGCAGGTCGGGAAGGCGGGCCCAGGCGACCAGGTCGAGCAGGCGGGTTGCTGAAGCGTTCGTCCTGCATGAATCGTGAGGAAGTCTCGAGCGATAGCGCGATGCCCAAGTAAATCGTTTGAAAAGCCAAAGCGAAAGCGTGATTCCTGAACGCCGAGGGCGCATCATCTGAATAACTTGCGAGGAAGTCTACATGAATTGTGAGGAAGTCCCGTGCGAGAGCGCGATTTGGGAATATCCGGTGAGGAAATGGGAACCGCTGTTTCTGTAAACCGGGGGCCAACGGCCCAGTTTGAGCCCCGTGACTTTCCCTGAGCCCCGTGACCTTCCCTGTTAAAAAACAAGGTGCCAGCCCCGGGGGAAGTTCAATTGAAAAAACAGAATGGTCACCGGAAGGGGGATCAACAATAATTATTCTGCAGTAGCGAGAGTTCAACAACAACAACACCAACCATCATTTTAGGACTGTTTGCTCTTATCTGTTCGACTGGCATGCAACGGATATTTCCCAACCCCCCGAATCCCTCCCCCTTCGTCCTCGATCGTACCCTCTTTGGGGGGTATCTTTTTCTTCCCTGCAGGCCGGGCCCTGGCAAGCGGCGGGGCGGCCGCGGACCGTCGGCCTGGCCAGCGGCAGCGCTGACCGGCGGCAGCCCGACCCCAAGAGGGACGGACAGGGACCGACCACGACGACGACGACGAGGACGACGACGACAAGGATGACGACGACGACGGACGACGGACGACGGACGACGGACGACGGACGACGGACGACGGACGACGGACGACGGACGACGGACGACGGACGACGGACGACGGACGACGGACGGACGACGACGACGACGGACGACGGACGACGGACGACGGACGACGGACGACGGACGACGGACGACGGACGACGACGACGACGACGACGACGACGACGACGACGACGACGACGACGACGACGACGACGACGACGACGACGACGACGACGACGACGACGACGACGACGACGACGACGACGACGACGACGACGACGACGACGACGACGACGACGACGACGACGGGGGGGCGCGGAGGGGGACGAGGAGGACGAAGGGCATATAATGCGGGACCAAAGAGGGCAGCGACGGGGCCGCTGAAGGTAGCGTCGGGGCCACGAAGGGCAGCGAGGGGCTGCAAATGTCGACAGCGGGCCGCGAAAGGCATGCGTATGGGGCCACGACGGGCGCGAGCGAGCGGGGGCCGCGAAGAGTATGCGCATATGGGGCCACAGAGGGCGACGGCCTGGCCGCGAAGGGCAGCAATGGAGCCGCGAAGGGCAGCGAGGGGGCCACGAAGGGCGACGGCGGGGCCACGAAGGGCGTGCAGACGGGGCCACGACGGGCGCGTGCGACCAGGGGCCACGAAGAGCATATCATGTGGGGTCACAAACGGCAGCGACGGGGCCACTGAGGGCAGCAAGGGGGCCACGAAGGGCGCGAGCGAAGCCGACCGCAGAACCACCTTAAGGGCGGCGATGGGCATCGAGAGCGGGCGAAGTGCAGCGACAGGCGACTGCAGTACCTAACGGGTGGGTCGGGCGGGCGGGCCCCGACGGGCGGGTCGAGCGGGCGGGTCGTTGAAGCGTGAATCTTGCTCGAATCGGATGTAAATCTCTCGCGAAAGCGCAAACTTCCAAGACAATTCGGAGGCCCGAAGCGAAAGCGCGATTCCTGAGTGTCGAATACCAGCATCTGGGGCCCCATTTGGTGACCCCACACTGTCCCTTGAAAGCGACAGCAACAGCAGCAACAACAGAACAACAACAGCAACAACATCAACACAATACATCGACAACAGCAATTATCTTAAGACTGTTCGCGCTTACTGTCGGGGGAGCGTACGACCCGGGTTTGCCGGGACTCGGGTTCGCCATCGTTTTTTGACGACCGCGCCTCGGATTTTGACGAGGAGGAGTTTCGTGGGATGTCTGCAGCGGGAGGCCTCGTCAAAATGCAGGCTCGGCCTCGTCATTTTTTTGACGACCTCGTCAAAGATTTCCGAGTCCCCCGTACCCGGGTCTTACGTCTCCCCGATACTGGCACGCGTGTCTTGCATTCCGTATACCCTAACCCTCGTTACCCGCCCGCTTCGTCTTCGATGGCGCCCCCTTTCGGGGGCAATCTCTTTATAGCTGAAGTGCGAAGGTGTCACGAGCGAGAGCGCCGCTGCTGCGTTCGGGGGCCTCTCTGGCCACGGGCTCTCGGAATACCGTCAGGAGGGAAAAAAACACGCAGACACAATTAATCCTCGATCCCCAGGAAAATATAGGAAAATATGGGAAGCGGTGGGGAAGACAAAACCCCAGAAACTATGGGAAAATATGGGGACTATTTTTATTTGTGTGTACTTATTTGTGTGTCCTAATTTCCCTTTATACCGATGGAGAAATATCAAACGTGAGCCCTTGTCGCCGTGTCCGGGCCTCCACCAATCTGCTCGAATTTCGGGGCAGTCTCAAGCGAGAGCGCCGTTCCTGATTTGGGGGGCCTTCTTGGTCAGGGCTTTCGGAGTAAATCGTGAGGAAGTATCGAGCAGGAGCCCTTGTCGTCGTGGCTGGGCCTCCGCCGACTTAATTGAATCGCTAGGAAGTCTCGAGCGAGAGCGCCGTTCCTGAGTTCGGGGGCCTCTCTGGCCAGGGTGTTTCGGGGTAAATCGTGAGGAAACGTCGAGCGGGAACCGTTGTTGTCGTACCTGGGCGTCCGAGGGCTCGCATGTAGGCTCAAGCCAACGCTCGAGCGGGAGCTTCGTTTTCAGAGGAAATGTAGCCGGCGTCGAGGCGAGAGCGCGCGGAACCGTTTCCGGATATTACCAATAGTTTATTCGAATGAGTATTCAACGATATCAGCAGCAACACCAATCATTTTATGGCTGTTCGCTCTTATCTGTTCGCGTGCCGTTCAACACGTATGTCCCGAGCCGTCAGTACCCGCCCCCTTCGTCTTCGATCGTGCCCCCTTGGTGGTATATCTTCCTTACATGCCACGTACATGTAGCGTAGCTTGCTAAACAGGAGAAGAGAGGACGGATGGAAATGGCAGGACGAAGGATGGAATTCGAGAAAGAAATGAGCATGAGGGGGGGTAGGGACCGAAAACACGTGGCAGAACCAGACGGGCAGGTCGGGCGGGCAGACCTTAGCGGGCGGGTCGGGAAGGCGGGCCCAGGTGACTAGGTCAAGCAGGCGGGTTACTGAAGCGTGGGTCGTGTATGAATCGCGAGGACGTCTTACGCGATAGCGCGATTCCTAAGGAAATATAAAGAAAAAGGCCAGAACGAGAGAAGACGTATCAGACGGGAACCGTTGTTGTTGTCACTCGGGGGCTAGGGGCCCAGCTTGAGCAGGAATATTTTCCGTGATAGAAAACCGGGGCGAGCCCCGGGAGGAACATTGTCATTGAAAGAACCCACCCACGTGCACACTGGTGGGGAATCAGTAATATTTCATTTTCAAAAGTGAGAAAACTGTTCGATCTTACCTGCTCGCGTGCCACCCAACACGTATTTATCACAAGCCCTGGATACCCGTCTCTTCGCCTTCGACCGTGTCCCGTTTGGGGTATATTTTCAGTACCTGCCACGCGTACTCCGCGCAGCCCCAGAACAGGGGAGGAATGGATGGAGGGAAGGGGGAGGAAGAAATTTGGAACACGAGAGAGATTAGCAGGAGGGGGGGCAGGAGGAGAAACCACGTAGTATAACCAGAGTGGCAGATCGTGCGGGCAGACCCCAGCGGGCGGGTCGGGAAGGCGGGCCCAGGCGGCCAGGTCGAGGAGGCGGGTTGCTGAAGCGTGAGTCTTGCATGAATTGCGAGGAAGTTTCAAACGCTTCCCAACTAATTGTTGAGAAAGGCCAGAGCGAGAGCGTGATTCTTCAGTGTCGAGGGCGCGGCGTTTGAACAAATCGCGAGGGAGTCCTTCGCGAGAGCGCGATTCTAGCATGCATTGAGAGGAAGTTCCGCGCGAGTGCACGATTTTGCATTAAGCTGTGAGGAAGTGTCACGCGGGTGTCGTTGAACTTTCACGATTGAAAAATATTATTGTTGATCCCCCCTCCGCTGACCAGTGTTTTTTTTTGAATTGAAGTGCTCCCCCCGTGGCTCGCACCCTGTTTTTAATCAGGGAAATTCACTAGGCTCAAACTGCGTTGTTGGCACCCGGGTTACAACAACAACAACAACAACAACAACAACGGCTCCCGCCTGAGATTTCTTTACAATTTGGCCAGGACCCCCGTTCCCGCCTGAGACATCCTCGCGTTTTATTCAGGAATCGCGTTATCGTTTGGGACTTCCTTGCGATCTATACAGAGATCGCTCTCTCGGCGCTCTGGAGTCCCGCTGTCGCTGGAGATTTGCTTGGAATTTACTCAAGTATTGCGCTCTTGCGTTGGAATTCGCCGCGTTTTGCTCTAACGCCGCGCTCCCGACACTCAGGCACCCAGGAGTCGCGCTCACGCTTCGGACTCCGCGCAGCTTATTTAGGAATCGGGATGTCGCTGCCTTCCGTGGCTCCGTTGCAGTCCTTCGTGGCCCCATCGCTGCCATTCGTGGCCCCGTTGCAGCCCTTCGTGACCCCTTCGCTGCCCTTCGTGGCCCCCGTGCAGCCCTTCGTGGCCCTCGTTGCAGCCCTTCGTGGCACCCTCGCTGCCATTCGTGGCCCCGTTGCAGCCCTTCGTGGCCCCCTTTTGTCCTTCGTGGCCCCCTCGCAGCCCGTCGTGGCCCCGTTGCAGCCCTTCGTGGCCCCCGTCGCAGCCCTTCGTGACCCCTTCGCTGCCCTTCGTGGCCCCGTTGCAGCCCTTCGTGGCCCTCGTCGCTGCCCTTCGCGGCCCCGTTGCAGCCCTTCGTGGCACCCTCGCTGCCCTTCGTGGCCCCGTTGCAGCCCTTCGTGGCCCCGTTGCAGCCCTTCGTGGTCCGTTCGCTGCCCGTCGTGGCCCATTATATGTATGTCCTTCGTGGCCCCCGCTCGTTCGTTCCCGTCGTGGCCCCATATGCATGCGCTTCGTGCCCCGCTGTCGCCCTTCGTGGCCCCCTTTCTGCCCTTCGTGGCCCCGCTGTCGCTCTCGCTCTCGCTCTCGGTCTCGCTCGTCGTCGTCGCCCGTCGTCCGTCGTTGTCGTCGTCGTCCTTGTCGTCGCCGTCCTCGTCGTCGTCGTCGTGGTCGGTCCCCTGTCCGTCCCTCTTGGGGTCGGGCTGCCGCCGATCAGCGCTGCCGCTGGCCAGGCCGCCGGTCCGCGGCTGCCCCGCCGCTTGCCGGGGCCTGGCCTGCAGGGAAGAGATATACCTCCCCAAAGGGGTACGATCGAAGACGAAGAGGGCGGGTATCGGGGGTTTGGGAAATACCCGTGGAATGCAATTCGAGCAGATAAGAGCGAACAGTCTCAAAATGATTGTTCTTGCTGTTGTTGTTGTTGCTGTTGTTGTTGCTGCTGTTGTTGTTGTTGTTGTTGTTGCTGTTTTTGTTTTTGTTTTTGTTGTTGTTGCTGCTGCTGTTGTTGCTGTTGTTGTTGTTGTTGCTGCTGCTGCTGCTGTTGTTGTTGTTGTTGTTGTTGTTGTTGTTGTTATTGTTGTTGTTGTTGTTGTTGTTGTTGTTGTTGTTGTTGTTGTTGTTGTTGTTGTTGTTGTAAGTCGGGGGCCAGGGGCCCAGGTTGGTCACATCCAGATTTCCCCTACACAGCGAGGGTGCGAGCCCCGGGAGGAGCACTTGAATTGATAAGCACACTGGCTACCGGAGGAGGGGGATCAACAAAACTTATTCTTCAGACGAGAGAGAGTGCACGCACCGTCCTCGCCGCGGAGCCCCGCCCCCCAGCCACGCACCCAGGGACAGTGCATGCCCGCCCGGCCCCCTCGCTCCGATCATGGGCCGTTCGGGCCTCGCGAGGGCGGCGAGGATCTAGGCCCCTAAGATGGGGTCGCAACAGATGGGGTCGGAGGGTCGCGCCGCATCGCCGATGCATCGACGCTGCGGCTCGATGTGCAGCCCGATCTGCCCCACGTCGACGCCGCCGATGCATCGCCGACGCATCGGCGATTCGGTGGCGACGCATCGCCGATGCATCGGCGATGCGGTGGCGATGCGGCGCAGTCCTTCGACCCCATGTAGTCGGACCCCATCCAGGAGGCCTCTGGTGCTCGGGCCCCGCGAGGACGGCGAGGATGGCCCCTCGGACCTCGCCGAGCTCGCCGCCGGCCACCTCCTGGCGCCCGCGGGGCAGGCCGAGGGCCCCGCAGCTTCCGGCGGGAGCGCCGAGAGGCTGCGCCTCGCGGCGCGGCTGGACGACCTGGCCGCGCGGGTGTCGCGCAACGGCTTCCAGGTCGTGGACCTGAAGGCTCCGGGGGCGAGCCCTACAGTGGAGTTGGGCCTGTCCCTCCACAGGAGGAATCTTCAAAAGTAGTATGGGGACCATTTTCTGAGTATTTATTGGAACATTTGTTTGTATGTTTGAGGACTTTTGGAGTATTCTTAATTTTTCGTCCAAAGTCCCCCTGTAGGGGACACGCCCGACCTACACTTCTGCAGCCAAGACGCTGCAGTAAGGACCGCTGCGAGCTCAGGAGGGGTCGCCCCTTCGACCTAGACAGGAAGGGAACTGTTCGTGGCCGGGGCCCGCCGCGGCCAGAGAAGGCCCCGTTCATTCCTTCTGCTGCGTTCCTGCTGTCAGCACGCTGATTGCAGGCCTCCCAGATGGGGCCAGGGTACTCCAAATGTCGTAATAAAAGGGAGGGGGTCTGGACCCTCCAAGACGAGCCATTCCAGACCTCCCCCGTGGGAGAACCTTCCAAAACATCGTCCCCAGACCCCCCCAGGCCCTCCAAGATAGCCTGGAAGAGACCCCCCCCGAAATGAGACCCCCCTCCCTTTCTTACGAAATCTGGAGTAGATTCGGAGGCGACGATGTGGGGCGAATAGCCCAGTGGGGAGCAATACATGTATCCAGGGGCGCCGATGTTCTATGTTTTCGAAATGGCTC